AGTTCTATATATATTCTAGACAGCAGTCCCAAAGGGAATTTTCTAAACTTTACCCTGTAACCTGACAGAACTAATCTGTCCAGAGGCAGAGAGCCATGACTGAGAACTGAACCTCAATGTTCAAGTCCATAATCTCTACAAGACAGAAACACTTCTAGAAATTACCAAAAGACCTTCAAGGTAGGATTCTTCCAAAGATCTGCAAACTGAGTGCATCAGCCAGGCACGGCGCTGCAGAGCTGCAATCCCCGCACTCCGGGCAGCTGCGAAGGGAGGGTAACAAGTTCGAGGCCAGCCTGGGAGATTCAGTAAGACCCTGTCTCAAAACTTAAAAATGGAAAGGGCTAAGATGTACCCCAGTGCAAAGGCCCTGGGTTCAAGCCCTACTAGCCAGAAAAACCTGAATAGATCCACATCTAAGACACTCTGAGCAAATGAATCCACCCCAGTCCTGGTCCAAATCTCTGAAACTTTCCTGGACTTGCCCGCAAACCTGGGCCATGGCTCTCTGCCAGGACTCTGACGTCCTATAGGAAAGTAAGTGAGTAAAAAGCACAAGCAACGTCCTAAACAGGTCACGCTACATGCCTGACAGACTGAAGTGAGGACACGCTTTCTAACGTACTATACTTTAAAGGATAAAGTCTTAGCGCTGCGTACATAGACCACACAGCCTCTGGCCACCCGTCTGCTAACTTACAGCAAAAAGAATGACCCCCTTCTTGTTATTTCTACACTAACTCGGCCTCGGCCCGGCGCTCTGAGGCTTCAAGGTACTTAACACACTTGAACTTGCGAACAGGTAGGAATTCTCCCAACGCCCAAGAGATAGACCTACTTAAAAACTCAAGGGTTAGTCTACTTTCCAAATAATAGGAATTATAATCAGATGCAGCAGGGTCACTTATTAATCAAAGGAAAGAGAAAACAATCTAAATTATACAGTATAAGCTTGAGATTTACATTACTTTTTAAATTTCTCATGAAAATGCACTCTAATGAAATGCAAGTATGACATGCATACGTCTCTCTAGGAGCACATATATGCACACTTCGGAAAGCAGTCCAAGAGCCGGGCGTGGGGGCGCACGCCTGTAATCCCAGCACTTGGGAGGCTGAGGCAGGAGGATCATTGTGAGTTCGAGACCAGTCTGGGCTACAAAGTAAGCTCAAGGTCAGCCTGAACTGCAGAGCGAGACCCCATCTCAAAAAGAAAAAAAAAAAAAAAAAAAGGAAAGAAAGACAGAAAATAAGGAGGCACAACACCAAAGACAAAGGGACTTCAGGCCTGCTAAGAACACCGGTTGTGACCCTGCCTCTGCTGTTTACTTACTACGGAATCCAAGTAAGTGCTTCAGTTCCACATAGATAAAATAAGGATAATGCTGGGCATGGTGGCGCATGCCTGTAATCCCCACAGTCTGAGACTGCAGGAGGAGGACCACAAGTTCAAGGCCAGCCTAGACCACAGAGTGAGACCCTGTCTCAAAAAACCAACCCATCCATCCACCCATCAATCAATATTACTTAAAATTTCCCTAGCTGTATCTCAAAAATGATAGTCAATAGTAGTTAAAAACAGAAAGTCAAGACTAAGGCGAGGGGAGAAGAAGAAGAAAAGGAATATATTTAAATACACTGAGCCAGGCATGGTGGTGCACACCTGAAATCCCAGCACTCAGGAGGCTGAGGCAGGAGGATCTTTACAAGTTCCAGACCAGCCTGGGCTACAAAGTGAGCTCAAGGCCAGCCTGAACTGCATAGCAAGACCCTGTCTCCAAAATAAAAAAAAATTTTCTTAAAAAAGGCAAAAATAAATAAGTAAATACACTGAATACACAGAGTATTCTGGGGAAAATACAAGTGTCTTCTACAAAAAAACTCACCTCTGAGCATGCCAAATGCCTGACGTTGCTGAACCAGTGGACATGAGCACGGCAATGGTCAAACGCGTGGATGAGCTCGTGGGTGACCACTCGGTCCATGTGGGCCTGGCTGCGGACATTATTCTGGCACAGAACAATCTACAAGACACCAAATTAGGAAAAGTATGGTGATTTCTTTTTCTCTTTTTTTTTTTTTTGTCTTTTTGAGACAGGGTCTCACTATGCAGTTCAGGCTGGCCTTGAGCTCACTTTGTAGCCCAGGCTGGTCTTGAACTCCCAAGGATCCTCCTGCCTCAGCCTCCCGAGTGCTGGGATTACAGGTGTGAGCCACCACCTCCTGCTTGTGGTTATTTCCAAAATCTGCTTTCAGGGCTGGGGATTTAGCTCAGCGGCACCGCGCCTGTCTGGCAAGTGCAAGGTTGTGAGTTCGATCCCCGGTACCGAAAAAAAAAACAAAAATAAAATAAAATAAAATCTGCTTTCATTTTACAGATTCCACCTTCTCTCCCTCAGGTTCACCTGCTTGAGATGCCTCTACCCAGCTCTCCCCATTTGAGGTAGAAATATTACCCACCGTCAGACACGGCCCTCCAGGGAGTCAGGACAGAAATGAAAACTTACAACCGTGGCTGGAGGAGCATCCGTCGGAGGCCAGGCTGCCAGACAAACACAGAATAACCAGGCCTGAGATAAGGGGCAACGCCTGGTCTAATGAAGTCTAGACAGACATCAAGTCACCTCAGCCAGTGACTGTTATGGTTGATACATTGTGTCAACTTCAGAAGTTTAGAAGGTTAACTAGTACCCAGCAGGGTCAGGGGCCTCACCTTGTAAACACCCTGAGCCTGTGCCAGAGGAGGGTGAAGAGGTGGTATGAGTGCTACACACACCTACACACACACACACACCCTGGCATAGCCTGCCTCCAATACACACGCACGCGCGCGCGCACACACACACACCCGGTGTAGCCTGCCTCCAATGTAAGGGAGGAAAACAGGCTTGTGCTCCCCCGCTGTTTCTGTTTTTTGTCCACCCCACTCACCCGAACCAGGAACTGAACTCAGGACCTCGCGCTTGCCAGGCAGGCGCTGTGCCGCTGAGCTAAATCCCCAGCACCTCCCCTGCTGTATCTGCTCTTGCTGCTTTTGCTGCCTTCTGCCAACCTGAGCTGTTGCCCTCTGCCATGTGCCAGCCTGCCTTGCAGCCAGCCGAGTATGGACTGAAACCTCCACAAACTGTGAGCTAAATAAACCTTTCCTTCCTTAATTTTGGCCAACGGGTGTTTTGTCTCAGCAACGAGAGAAAAGGACCGAGACAGGGACCGGGACCCCTGGACTCATCCCTTCCTGGAAAGTTCCTTGCTCTTTCCACGTCACCTGCTACCTGACCGTCTTCCCCACTGGATCGATACTGCCTAAGCGACTACACTTACAACTTTACTGGTTGAGCACAGCTGTAACCCACGCTGCACCCACCTGGTTGTGCTCTATAAAACTTCCCGAGAAGTGGGGTCCACAGCAACCCACTCGGAGCCCCTCCTGCTGTATCTTTTCCCCCTCAATAATTTCCTACTCTTAACCTTCACTGTTCCCTAGAATTCATGCTTCGATTTTGGGGAAGACCAACTCTGCATACTGGACAGCTAACAGGTGTGGAGTTACAGCATTTCCCGTATATCGTATCCAGAGGTCCTACGTCATTTCCTGTATGGCGGTGCAGTGAAGTCCCAGGGCTAGCTGCGCATGCTCTGTTAGCCTTCCCGAGGACTACCTTCTCCCTTCCCCTCCTCCCGGCCACAGTGGCACAAGGTTAAGAACAAACACTCACTCACATGCCATCCTGGCTGAGCTGACTGCACCGGTC